ATCTCTCGTTAATGAGGTTTATTTTCGAAACAATATTTTTCATAAAAGCGGGAAAGATGATATGCGCTTGATCCAAGATCCTTTCTCTCTCTCTCATTTGCACAATTTCGATATTTGTCGGTTCATTCTTTATACACCACTCTCTTTATTTTTTATTTAATACCATGAAAAAGAAAATTTCAGTCCTCACAACTAAGTATGGACCAGATGAAAACTCGATGAAATGATGATATCTGTTTCTTACCGCAATTGAGAATATTCGTGTGAATACATTCAGCCGCATAAAAAAATTCTCGGTTGAGAAAGCGATAGATTGAGCAGAAACATTCCTCATAGAGGAATCTTCCTACACCGAAAAAATAATGTTATTGTTCATGTAATATTTATTCGATGCAAAATTCCAATACTCCTTGGCTAATATTTTGTAGGCAATGATTGTGAGTATCGCGGCCCTCGTGATCGGCGGGCGCGCTTTGGAGCGGCGCCGCGTTTTATCTCTTGCGAAGTATGCGAAGCATTCGAAACATGCGTGTGAACACGCGCCGAAAGCGCAGTTAGCAATTCGCTTTCCAAAGTCAATCGTCTTAACGCGGTAGAGCATTCGTAGAGAGTCTCGCAAAGACACGCCCTGTATCGTTTCAATAAATATTTCTTTATGTTAATCCCATCCAGACCACGCGATTGTCCTCTCGATTGTCTTTACGGTCTTCCCCCTACAATTGATTACAATATTTCCAAGTAGGAATATAATTGTACACTGTGATATTTCCTTCGTATGAGTAAACATTTATTTGCATTTGTTGAAATACAATTACGACAAGTTATTAAATACATAATATTGAGGATATCAGGATTTATTTTGTGAAAATATTTACTCGGCACAAAAATCGTAATTTAAACCCCTCTGGGTTTTTTCAACGGAAAAGAAATATTACGTCATTCTAATAGACACTCAAATTTATAAGTAAATTTTACACTTGCATTTATTTACAAATATTACTGCGTTCAAATAAGTAGGGGCGACGAGTTTTGTCAAAATCTTGCCACTCGAGGTATTTTCAAAGTATGTTTATATCACAGAAAACACAATTAATTCCAGAAAGTTTTAATTATGTTTTTTATTGTTTATTTATTTAATATATTTAAAGTGAGAAAAATATTGCTTAATTTAAGGAGCTGAAAAACAGGTAAAAATATTCTCAGAAGAAACATAGAGGATCTTGTTTGGATTTAATACAATTTCTGTAATTAAAACAAATTTGTCCCTCGGAATGGAGTAAAAATGCAAACGAATGTTTTGTTTCTCATACAAATATTGTTATGTCACATTTCTTTTGTATTTTTAAATATCACAATAGTTGTAACAAATAATAAATTATTTGAAAGAAGTAACACTGAAAAATATTCAAGTATTTTCTCGTTTCAGTGGGGAAATATATAATGAGATAAAATTGATTTAACCCTTAGCTGACACACGTCAAAATAATAACGTACGTGCTATAGGGGGTATTTTGGATTCCAGCGAGAAAAAATGTGTATAATTGTTTTATTTATCAATATTGGGTCAAGCCTCGACTAATACTAGGTGACGCCACAGAAGCAAATTTGGCGCGCAGCTATGAAAAATTTGCGTTCAAAAACACTCTGGGGTACTTTTAACCCCGTGTGTCAGCTAAGGGTTAAACGAAATATTATTTCCTCCAAATAATATTGTTTTTCCCTATAAGGCAACATGGTTTACTTTAGTGAAACAACATTTTCATTCAAACAAAATTTGTTGTTAAATTATGTTATTTATATATTGAACAAGTCAAACAAACACTAAATTCAAAGGAACTTTGCGCGTAAACCGAGTTTTCGGTCCAAAATTCAGTTACACACTAACGAAGTTGTTTTTTTCCGATCGCGCCGTTAAGCCGCATTAATTAAGCTTCGCTCCTCCGGATAGATCGAAACTAATCTCGAGAGGGCGGGAGGTGATCTCCGGCGTTGCTGGATTGTGTAAACATGAGCCACCAGCCGTGCGCGCGTGAACTGCCTGGAGCTTCCGAAATTCCAAGATGCGAATCGCTCGCGCGCGCGCCCTGACGAATCGATCGGCGCAATTTAATTTGCGAATTCCCGGTCGCGAAAACGACGTGCCGCGATCTTTGCGACCCTAATGGCTATCCGCACAAACGACACAAAATCAATTCAGCGCCGCGAAGGGTGCCATGAAAAATCGGCGCGATGTGCACGCGAGATATTTTTCATAGACAGAAATAGAGATGCGAGATCGCAGAGAGCGAGCGCAGCGTGCGTGCTCGCCGACGAGCGATTGGCGTGACGGTAGGTTGCATTTGCGGCACGCGCGCCGTGATACCGGGTGTCCGTCGAGAAGCGCGTTATTGGTTTGCGTCCGATAGGCAAGAGCTCTTTAAGCGTCGGTGATTCGACGAGTAAACTCGGAGTAAAAAAAAAGACGTGTTTATCATGCGTGGGACGAAAAATTGAAAGGAATTCAAGAGAGAAATTTCGGTCGAACGTTTCCGGATATATTCTTCCGGCTGTGACTCCGGATAGCGGGAAGAAGCGCGGCTCCGATCACGCGGAAACACGCTTTTACTCAAATGAATATCGAATACTGTTCGTTAAATTAATGAACGGAGCGAAAAACACAAGCTCACGCTGGCGGGCATATTTCCGCGGCGCTAAATATTTATTCAGGAAATTAACATCCGTCACAAATGCGCCGCGTATATCGTGCTGCGCCGCGGCTGATAATTGTTTCGACTAGCATAAATATCGTAATTTGTAAAAACCCGCGCGCGACGTCGATTTCGCGTCCGTTGGCACGGCGCGTTGGAAATCCTTCGGACGGAGATAACTGTTCGGCCTTTGGAAGTGAAAAAATCGCCACCCCGTTATCGCCGCGAATTTTATCCGGCGCAATGTCGCTTACGACACGCGTGAATCGCATTGAATTTATTCGTCTGAACGCACACTCGACGCGCGTGTATAAGTATTCCGACTTTATCAATCAGGAGAAATATAAAAGTCTCTCGCATTTTCGTTGCAGCGCCGACTAAACACGTGCGGCCGCCTCCCCCGATAATTGCTCGCGATTACATAAAGAGTAACAGAGTGTTTTAAGGAAATTATATTTCCATACGTTTTAATTCGTGCGCACCAACGGTAGCGCGCACGCGGACGCTCGTCCGGAGAACGGTGAGAGAAGGTTAATTAATTAGATTAACACGTTCCGTTTCCGCGTGTAATTAAATCCTCGGGCATTCTCAAACGCGACGATAAATTTCCTGTAAATGTGAAAAATTCGCGCGTTCCTAACTATCAAAAAAGGAAAAAAGGAAAAGAGAGACGGTAAAACGAGAGAGGGATGATAGATAGATAGATAGTTTATTAATATACTGGAGTATTAAGACCACTTGAGCATATAGGATAGATCATTAGAAGCGTAATGTTTGAGTCAAGCTAAGTAAATGTGGTTACCAGAAGAGATTTGCAGCAAGCAATATGTTCGTTTGAAAAATAAGCTATCAAACAAATAACAATCTATCAAATAAAAAGCTGTATATAAAGAGAGCTGTTTTTTTTACTGTCGCCTTATTTTTCATTCACGAATGGACCAAAAGGCCTTTTTTTTTTTTTAAGAAACAGACATATTTTATTACAAACTCAAAACTGTATCAAACGTTTTGTCCGACTACTTTCTTCCGTTTTCATGCAGCTTCATTATTCCGTCCTCGAAAAACTGCCCATTTTTCTCAGCGAGAAATTGCTTTAGATCAATTTTACAGACTTCCAGATTGTCGAATTTCTTTCGAAACACAATCAATCTTTTTCTTTTAATAATGTAGTGAACTTTAATATATGCATACGCGAAGTTAACACCAAGTGTACTTACATTAAATGTGAAGTAAAACGTTAAAGAAACGAAAAGACTTATTGGCCTACCAAGTAACATATCAGAGTGTCTGAACTAATGAACCAAAATAATATTGTACAATATAGCGATGTACAAAAGGAAGAAATAAGCTACGTAATTAAGATATAAAATAAGTATGAGAGAAATAAGGATATAGCACGTTCCTGAGAGGGAAAAACATCGTCGTGTCCGCTTACTCAATCGCACGCGATCTTTGTAATTTCGTCTCTACGGTGTGCTGCATCCGCGTGCTCTTCTTCGGAACGTGTAAATCATTTTTCTACGACGATCGCGCGCGTTATAATAATACGCGAATTCGCCACGACATTGGATATCGTCATCCGCTTTTCTCCGTAACTCACGATTATGCAACCGCGATTATAAAACCGCGGACCATTTTAGTGCATACATATATGCGACGATAGCGACAGTTGACATTCAGGGAAATACATTTTGATAGAGTTATCGCGCGCGATTATATTATTCCGCTCCGAGTCAAAAACAACAAACAGCCGACGTGCTTATGTTTCACACTTGTCGCGCGACGAATTTGCCGAACGTTTAATCGTCCGGCAAAAATTAATCTGAAGCTCCTTGGCAGCCGATCAATTTGTTCGCAAGACGCTGGTAAAGCAGAGTGTAACACGATGCAACTACTTTCGCGAATGCACAGCGTTTCATGCTGCAGTAAGAGATTTAACGCGCATTAGATTAATTCGCGAATCAGTACATTCAGAGAAATATTCTTAACAACAATCACTGGATTGGTGGGCTGGAGTTAATCACACCGCATAGTCGATTAATATAAACATCTTTATCACCAGAGCGCAGCCGCCGACCAACCTTAGCTACTCGAGTTCAGCTAATTATTTCCCTTGTTTTTCAACAGAGCAAGTTGGATCTCATAAGCATCTTTGACACTTCTGCTTGAAAAATCGAAGTTCTGTTGAAATATAGGAGAAATAATGAAAGTTGAGCCAACCAATTCCGATCATTTCTCCGAGAATTGATCTTCGTGAAAAGGTGTTGGGTAGGGTGCACGTCATTGTTTGATGTAGTCGCGGTGGTGTCGCAGGTCTGGAACGGGTAGCGGAGGAGTTGATGGGCCGTAGGAGATGGAAGCAATACCAGGACACCCTGTACAGCGGCACCCGCAGCAGCGAATCAACGACGGCACAGCCCCACCATCGGCTTTACCCGGCGTTGTCGTCGTCGCCCTGCAACCCGATTGCCGGGAGCCTGGACCAAATTGGGCCGCATCATCCGGCACCCTCGTCGTTGGTGGCGTCGACGGTGGCGTCGACGGTGCTGACGACCGCGACGACCACGACGACCACGGCGACGACTCTCGCGACGGTGAAGCAGGAGAGCCTGCAGAGGCATCACCTGCAGAACCATCATCCGGATCACCACCTGCAAGAAGATCCGCGCCGTCTGAGGCCGGGCGAGATCAAAGTCGAGGTCGCCGACGAGCCGACGGACGTCGCGGCGAGAACGGCGGATGCGGCGACTACCATCAGCACGTCCACCACGACGACCGGCACGACGAGACGGCGACGTGGAGGACGCCGGCAGAACGACGGGGAGGACGCCGACGGGGAGGAGGACGACGACGAGAACGACGAGGAGACGGGACGGGGGGGTCAGAACGAGGTGGAGAAACGGCTCAAGCTCGACGAGGACGCCGACAGGTCGGTCAGCCCTCTCAGGACGACGGAGAACGCGACTCGGGATCATCCGACTGCCAACGCTACCGACACGGAAGGGACCAAGGTTGGTGGAAATTGTTCCGATTAATCGGTGCTTTGTCAGTCCATCCATTTAATGCTACATCGTAGCTGAGAAATAATGAACCATCGAACAAAATTAGTAGCAAAATTCATGTTCTTATACATAAGCAATAATCTATAATCTCGTATGAAAATAAAAGCTTGTTCACGTGAAGATATTCCTATCTAGTTTCATTAAAAATATATTCATGTCATTTAAGAGCAATTTTCATAAATTGGGAAGAAAAAACAGAAAGACTGATATCTTCAGATTCTTAGTTTGTATCAATTTTTCGTTTATTTCAATCAAAAAGCTTTTCTTCATTAATTCCATTTCCCAATATTTCTGTTTCATCTATTCGTTTCTTATTTGTCTCTTTAAAACCCAAAAGGTTTTTTACATGGAAACTTTTCCTTTCGAAACTATCTTAAAATCTTGGAGAAAAATGATAAAAAAATATATCTCTTATGTAGGTCACGCACGGTCGCAGTGAGTCATGTACAAATGTCATCGTGATTGTTGGCGTTTAAGATCTATTCGTGATTGGCAAAGGGAGAATGGACATATCGTCGGGTTTTTCGTTGTCCCAACACATGAGCGATCCAATGACTGATCTAGCTGGGAGGAAAATATTTATTCATAATTATATTTAAGAAAGAATTAATAATCAGGAGAATCATTTTTCTAATATGCATTACTATAAATAATAATGACACGCATATTGCTACTACTATTTTTGTGGTTAAAACCGCGTATAACCGGAGCCGAAAATAATTCCTCCAAGCGCACGTAAATGAGATGGTGGTTAATAATATCGAGATAATAATGTCCTTTCACTAAAGTGAATAAGTTTCACCCCCACTTCTGTTCCAGGAACGAACGGAGGAAGTCGCGTTGGAGCGGGCACCGGTAACGCAGGGCTTGCTGAGGGTAAAGAAGGAGGAAGAGCTGCAGGAAATACCGGGTTCAGGCGGCGGCACGACGATACTGACGGCAACGGAAGGGACCAGGTCGGGGCTGTTATGCCGCGAGGGGAACGCGCCGAGCGCCGCGGCGCCGTTCCTCCTTGGAAGCCGACGTACGAGCCCACCGCCGGAGGACTGGAAGCCGCTCGACAAGTGTTACTTCTGTCTCGACGGCAAGCTACCCCACGACGACCAGCCGCCCCTTGTAAGTACCTCACGGCGAGAGCGCCGTTGATTCGTGAGGTTGCGCATGGCTGGGCATCGACTTCGTCCTTCTCTGCTACTTTCCTCTTACCCCCGAGGCGAAAGACGACGGTAGACGACGGGTAAGGGCTTTCGCACACGAATTGCATAAGATGGAAATTTAGGAGCCAACCAGGTTACTACCATCTTCTTCTAGAGTTTAAGCAATATCCTCATTCAGCTTGATGCTGCAATTCTAGACAGAATCGTAAAGCTAGTGACAACTTACGATTGGAATGACGATCGATTTCTAACTACCTACTATTTTTCGTAAATCTTACGGCTAGCAAGAAGTTGTCTGTAAGTATCGCGGAAAATTCTTTAGTAACTATCAACAAATATGTATAAAAAATTTGTCGGAGCCTGCAAATAAATCGATCATCATCTTTACGCGCAAATGACAGGTTATATATATTTGAAATTAGTCGCTCCTATCGTAACCATGAACATGTAATGACGATCAATAGTAAGTCAGATTTTTGCTTTTCGTAAGCTACTGCTTTATTCATACATTGATTTGCAGTATCATGTTACATCTTATGCAATTCGCGTGCGAAAACCTGAAACGAAGAAGGGGGGCTTTCTCAAAGCCCATATCAGGCTACGAATGAAGATTGAATTGAAATCAAAGTTCACTTGAGCTTAAGCTCAAGCTTTGGTTGGGCAGATTTCAATTGAATTTTAATTCTTAATCTGATACGGGCTTTCCGTTTCTTCCTTTCTCTTGTTGTTTCTTATATCGGATAGCCGTAAACGGATAGACAGTCTCGTCCGCGTAGTTCGCCGACGAGGTTTACATCCGACGTTGCTCGTTTTGCCTGCTACTTACGCGTCATCGGGATCTCTCTCTCTCTCTCTCATGCACCTGTTGTTTCGCCGCTTTTGATTAAGTCGAGCGCACTTCCACCACCACATCACACCATCTCCGGCAGCGCCTTTCAGCTTTGATCGCTTTGACGCGCCCATAAAAGATTCACGAGGAAGATTCGCGCGCCTTTTGAAAAATGAATTCGATCAGAATTCGATCCCGCCTTCTCGCGGGTTATCCTTTTGCCGGACCCTCTTTCCGCGAAAGCCGGGATGACTCCGTGCTGTGCCCCGCAGAGTCCGCAGAGCGACAGTAGCAGCAGTTCGCGATCGGCGGAGTCACCGATGTCGGTCCAGGTGGACCCGATGGCCGCGTCCGTGGTCGCCGCCGCTCTCAGCGGCACTTACCCCACCCTGCTGCCCCAGTGGTGTTTACCGCCGAGGGAGGCACCCCTCGTCGGGGTGCAGACCCATCAGGACAGCGCCACGGCGGCCGACCAGCCGCTCGATCTCTCGGCTAAGCCCAGAAATTCTCAGGTAAGCCGCCGGTTCCTATCAAGTTGGCGCTATCATTTCTCTGTCTCATTTACTGTCAACGCTCATCTGAGCCCCTCGGAGAGCGACGGGAAAGTAACGGGCGATCGATCGATACAATGTCCGCGGAGTAACGTCTGTTCTCTCGTAGTGTATTTCTCACGGATGCTTGTCGGTCGAGTGACTAACGCTGATGTCTGAGTAACCGAGCTGTACGCTTGCACACATCGTATTGATGAAATATTTATTTATCTCTCCCTGCCCTCCTTCCTCCCTCTCTTTTTTTCTCGTCGCATATCCACGTAACATTGATCTCATTCTCTGTCTGTTCAGGACAACAACATATCTCTGCTGGAGCAACAGAAAATACCTCTGAGGATGCCGGCAGGCATCGATCCCAAGAGTATCCTCAAGTGAGTAATTTCATTATGTAACGCCCCGCGGATGATGTATCTTTCTTTCCCGCTTAATCTCGAAATCCTTGCGCGTCGCCGATAAGAACTCTCCGCCGCGCAGAGTATAAAAGAGAGCGCGTGTTCTTCTTCTCGGCGCGTTGGAAAAATCGTCGACGGGGAGCGTTATGCATTTCCACGAACAAAAAAGAATCGCGGCGAACGTTCCTCGAGTCGATCGAGTGGCCGTTTAAGCCGGCCGCTCGGTTCGATAAGGCGTCGATTAAAAGACCGTACGAAAATCGCGAAACTGACGATCCGCCGGAATGCCGTCGCAATTAGGTGCCAATCACGCGGCCGGGCATAACCGTGATTTATCTCGCTCGTAAAGACGCAAGGGGAATCGTACCAATGACGCCCGTCCAAACACGCAGGACAGATTCGGTAATTGATGATACAGTTCGAGGATCTTTCGGATTTAATCGCGCGTAGCCAATCAAGAAGCATCACTTTTTCCAAATTGCTCGCAGATAAGATGAATGTCCGAATTTAGTGACAATGTAACAATTTGTGACAATCGCGTCCGTTTTTCTTAATGGGCCCCAAGTAGCTTCATCCTAAACGTTCTTTTCACTACTCGAAATTTCATATATTTTCTGTTGTTTCGAATAAAATTCAGAATCAAAGTGAATGCTATAGCTTCTAACGGTGGCGAACACTCGTCGATATCTTTAGAAATTGGTTAATATAAAGCGTTTTTTTGGTATTTCTTTGTAGTTACTTTTCAACCTCAAGCGATTGTAGTCGTACTGTCAAAGTCGAGGAAAGATTAAAGGATATTTTGCAAGTGAAAAAAGTAACAAGGTACGTATTTTTTGAAGTTAATATATATATATATATGTCACTAATCGGTACTGGAATATTTATCTAAATATATATAATATGAAATGATATAAACGTTTCTAAAGAGAAAGTGTGATTTGTAAATGTTGTTTGTCATTATAAAGTTAAGGAATAGACTTGCCAAAATTTTGCTCAACGATAGGGACGTTTATGATTCTATACCAATTTGTGACATTTGAATAATGATTTTTGTCGACCAGTAATAGGACTGCTCGCCACCTGTTATATATGTCACAAATTGGGACAAAATCAAAGTTACTAAATGACGTCACTTTTGACGGAATACAATTAAAATGTTATCATAAGTTTAAAAAACCTAATGTTTAAACTTTCGAGCAAAATAAGTGTTTAACATGTGTATTATTACAATAATTTATTTTCAACAATAAGGTTACTTTGTCACTCATTATAGGACATTCACCTTGATAATAAAATTAATGGAGATTATTATTTCCAATCGTTTTGCGCGAGAAATCATTTATTTGCGCACGAAGGTTATTCAATATCTCGCACCTTCATATCGTGCGCGCAAAATCCTCCCACGTGCAATTGTATCAAAAGGCAAACAAAGCGGGCTTGTAAACAAAGAGCCGCTTTTATCAGAAACTAAGATCGTGCGAGCTTAAATCTTTTGGACGCGTTAGTGTGGCCACGATTGCGAAAGACTTGACGATTATCTCGAGCGTGTTCGCAGGTGAGATAACGAGCCAATCGACACGGGCGTGCGAGAGAGAGAGTAATTGCGGTGAAATTTGCGGAGATCCGCGAATTAATTGAAATCCCATAAGAAACCTCATAAGACAATTTCACGCGCGTTGATTTGCACGAGAATCGCTGTCGAGATCGTCCAATTGCGCGCGCGATTCGAAACTTTCGAAAAATCGCTTCCCGCCGCTCATCGTACAAACGTTTTCCGCCTCTTTGTGTTTATGTGCCATGGCACTGCCATGGCAAGAATTACGGCGAGGAATTCACGTAATAATAAAAGGAAAAATCTGTTAAATCTTACATTTTGCACTTGCATTCAATAGTTTATTTACAAATGGAACTACTTCAAATCAATATTTGTCACAAGCTATTAAATATAAAATTAAATTGATAAAGGCATTATTTGATTTAAGAGACTGAAAATAGATGATTATATTTGATTCTGACACATTTTTTTCCGTGTGGACAAAACACGCGTTCAAGTTGTATTTCACGTCGCGCTAACTCAAGAAGGGCTTGATCACTCGTGTACACACGTTGTGTCGGAGCGGCATTTTTATTATTCACCCGAGTGGTGATCTAAACAATCGTGCGCGCAGCTCGTATTACGGAAATAGGTGTCGGGTTTATGTCCAAACTGGATAACCTTCGCGTCACATTTTATCTCCGCCGATCATTTTTCACGAGCCTTTTTGGAAAATTTCATCGGTTAACAAGGACGGATGATTTCGGTAGAATGAAATTCGATCGTTTCAGGGAGTGATATCGAGAACGATTTTTCTGCCGATAAGTAACGATTCACCGAGACGGAAGTTTTGTTAGTAAACAGAACTGTGTGTTTCGTAATATCGATGTACGCGCGCGGCGTTCATCGATCGCGAACGGTGAGGTAGGTCGCTCGTTGCGTGATTCTCACGCGCGATGTGCCTAATGCGTTGCGCGCGTTGAGTCGCGCGAAAAAATTTTCGTTGTAAAACGCGCGTCTCGCCAGTACAGCCGCAAAACCGTAATAATACCGACGAGTTGCCTCAACTTTTCAACCCTTTGAGCTTTAAACTGCTGCGCTGTCTGCGGTAGCGCGGCTCGATAAATATTTAAGCAACGCGTTTCGCGAAATCGACGCAACTCGATTGCGGTCTCAAACGCGAATGCAGTAAATTTCGTAGTTGAAACAAACGACAGCGAGCGGAAGCCGAGTTTCGCGCGCGTTTCAATTTCGCTTCTTTCTATCGTGAGAAAACTCGAGGGTGAATTAATAGCAACGATACCTTTCGATTGCAATCGGAAAATTCGGTCCGATTGTCTCTGCGGATTTATGAATAATTACGCCGAAATGAAGGAAAGCTTCTCAAACACCGATCGATCATCGGTGAACGACTTTTCTCCGGAGAAACGAAGAGTGAATGTATCTACCTGACAATAGGCTGACGAGTGGAAATATGTCTATCTAATCAGCCTGATTCGAGAGCTACTAAATTTTCTGTTTAATTTCACACTTTTCACTGAAATGTTAATTTAATACAATATGTTAGTGAAGTAATACAAATTATATATCAAAAATTAACAGATGGCGCAATTGTTATCGAGGAGAAATCTCTTAATTGCCAGGTAGATCCAATCGAACTCATTTTTCAGCGCGGTTCGCTCGAAGAAGCGTCGAAGGCGTACATTGCCCCCGTGTTTTCGCTGTTTTCCCCCGCGGAGCATTTTGCGCGTCAAATTTTTATCGTCGTCTATTATTAGCCCACCGTAATCTGCACCTCCCGACACATCGAAGAAGTACCTCGTGTGCATTACGAGGGGACTTCGCATCGGGAAGAAGAGGGGTAGGAAGAATGAGAGATCGAAGGGGAAGAGAAAAAGAACGCGAGGCGAGAGAAGTCGACGCATGCGCTACGCGGCGTAATTAGCGATAAGATAGGCCCGTCGACGAAACGGGTCGAAATTAAAGTCCGATTCAGACGCGAATATCTCGCACGGCTGCTCACTTTGCCGATATAATACTTTCCCGCACGTCTGATTGCATAATAAAACAGTTTGTTTTGATAACGGTCCACGGTAAAATTTTTCTTACTTTGAACACGTTAAAAAGCAATACGTTAACGAATGAAACGTATGTATGTTTAAGAAATGTTTCTAAACGACGCCCTTTAGATATCTTTACGATGTCTGTTATCTGGGAAATTAAATTCACATATATATCGTGTACTTTTTAACAAATTCTCCGAGTCAAAGCAACGCAAAAGTTTCAGTTTTTATCATAAAATTTTTATCGTGTGTAAAAGTACGCGATAAAAGTTTCCAAGTGACATTTCTAGCTGACAGTTAGCGTCAAATATTTACTTGATACACAAAAGTCCTGCAGTTTGCACGAATGTGTCAGTGCTCTGATCAGAAAAATTCCGACACCCTTTCAACGAAATTTAGAGATCTAAAAAGATGCGGAATGTTTGCAGAAAAATGTTTATATATATTTTAGTAAGATTTCTCGTTAGATGTGGATCGCGCATTCATCGCACTTATATCTACGTAAAATCTAAACATGTACGGGCAGCATGATCGTGTGACACATTTTGAGAATTGTCTTTGCGTTATTGACGCTTATCAAGTTCGTCATCCCTTTGGCGGCCCTTTTAAAAATTAAATCGAAGTTTCGAAATTATATCGTCGCGCTGAAGAAACGGTCAATCGAACGGTCATTGCTGCTCGATTTCTTCCAATCCCATGATGACTTTACAGCTGGCTGCTGTGTCTATCGAATTTTCGTGAAGAATTGACTCGGCGAGAGGAACCGTTCGTAAGTTATCACTAATTTCACGCGATAAGAATTTTTCTACTCCGCTCGAGTGTCCCGAATAAAGGAGATCTCCCTCTCGCTGTCGAAATATATCGTCCCGCCTTTCTGATCCGCGCGTTATAACACTCTCACAGCCTGTACTTTATTGGGGGAGCGTGCGTGGCGAAACGCGTCGTTTTCAGCGCTTTTGTATGAATGGAAAAGCCTCGCTTTAATCTGAATTGGCATTAAACCCGAATGGAGCCACAGCAGCAGTAGCTTGGCCGAGCTTTGAAAGCCGCGATTAAGACGCTATATGAAGGTTATCCTTTGCGCGTATGTTTAGTAGAGGACGCTCGCGCACATTGTGGGGAATAAAAATCGCGCTCGCCGAAGGGGATGATGACACGCTTTCGAAAAAAAACTATCGCGTTAGCCCGACCAGACGCGGACTTCCCACTCAGCAATACCCAATTCGAAATTTTGACGCCACTTTCTTTAGGACACTATTGCGCTTGCTTGGACGGTCTGTACCGAGAGAAAGAAATATCTAAAAATTCAGAGTTATTTTAATAATTTTGATTTAAATTCCTTCATTTAAGTAGAATAATTGCCTTTACGAAAAGATTAAAAAAATATATCTTTTTTTCATCATGTGAACAATTTCTCTCGGTGTAATAATATGTCTAAGTAAATATGTTATCAGGACTCACGGAATAAATATTGTTCAGATAACTTTTCTTTCAGTATATAGATTAGTAAAAATCTAATTTGACGACGTTTATTAACTTCTCTCTTCAATTTTTCGTTCTGATGCTGCCTTGAACGAACCTATTTTCACGCGAAAACAGCGAGGACAAAAGTTGAAGACATTATTCCGGTGAAAATGAGTAAATTATATCGTTAGATAATTGAAATTGAATTTACTTTGCTATCTATTATATTGTAAAAAGGGGTGAACATTTCACCGACGTTCTCTCGTTTTATCGCTTGCGCAGCTTCAGCGGTGATATCGAATGATATTTTTCTCTTTTGGTCCGCGATTATCTCCGGTTACAGCGCGCACGAATTTATAATAGTTATGATTCTGAATGCGATACGCGCGTGGAAGTTTCCTCAGGTGAGGTGAAAATTACACGGGCTCTCTCGGAGGGTTAGCGCAACCATAATGGTGTATACCTGTTAAATTCATGCTATTCAGGCACGCCAAGTTTTTGCACCTCCACTTCGGTGTTACGGAGACTGCCCCAAGGTACTTAGCGTTGCCTATAAACCGACATTACGCAAGTAAATACCAGCCTATGTAATTTTATATCTTTCTTTGGGCACATATTGCCATTTTTATATTGTTATATAACAGTACCGTCTCCGTTAGATTCGTTTAATTCGCCAAATTGGGATGAGAATCATGAGCTTTCTTAATTTTTGAGAGACCTGCATTTAGTGTTCCGAATAATGAAATTCCACTCGGGACGCGTTTGTCTCACTTAAAGACGACGGCAAACGAAATTAGACTGTCCGCGCGCTCACACGCCCGCGATACTGAAAAATAGTCGAGCTGCAATAAAGCCAGGCAGCAGTACTCAAGTGAAACCGGTTCTTTGTGGAAGACTTTGCGCAGAAGGTGCGCTGGCCAAGGAGGTATTGGCGTCGCAGTGAAGGACGAGATTACGACTATCTGGTGCGCGATTGCGTGAGCCGGCGTGATTTATGCGAGGATTTGCGAGATCGAGCCGTCCAGAGATCGATCGTGAAACTTCGGGCGCAAGCGTAACGAGGATATTTGTTTTGCTGCCGGTTAATTGTTATCGACGTTGCTCGAGTTTCTCACGCGGCATAGATATAAAAACGCGGACATTGTTGAATTAACCCTTTCGATCGGGTTATAGGGGAAGGGAGGGAGGATAAGAGGATGACCTAAGGTTTGTTGAGGTTTGTCCTCTCGTATAGTAACGTAAAAATAATTTTTCTTTTCCGAATAGCAAAAACAATCTTTTCAATCATCTATATAAAGGGAACACTTTGCAAATCAATTCTGTTTTAAGAACGTGTTAAGGTCGTCTTACCACCTAAGGTAAGGTAAGCGGACGGATACATTGTTTATGTACAGAGAAAATAATTTCTAGTCTGTACAGCGTAATAAAATACAAATAAAAATAATTTGTAACGATGCAACTTGAAGGAAATCTAGACAAGAAAAGCAATTATTTATAATTATATAATTTGCAAATAAAATATACGAACGGCAAGAAATATTGCAATATGAGGAATGAAAAGCAATAATATATATTATTATAATAATATATTATTATATGCGTTTTTATATGTAGTTTTATAGAGAAAGGAAAATATTTCTTTATGAAGAAATAGCGCAAAGTTATATATAGGTGTACTATATATTTCTTATTATATTATCTACTATCGTTAACAAATTGAAGTCAAACTGCAGCATATTATTTATTATTAGAAATCTCTTTTAGTAAATCGAAATATTCATTTTACGTCAGCATTATTGCTTTTCTACGTATAACAACGTATTTAAAAAGGGAATCGGAAGAGACCGAAAGTAATATTTCTGTCGCGATATGGGAATACGTCTCGGAAAAGCTCGGAGAAGCGCGCGCTGAAATTCCCCGGCGTTTATTAAAAGTATCGTTCGGTTTTATTTAGCGAACGTAAATATAGACGATTTTATCCGAAATTACGCGACAACAACGACGACGGGAACGTTGAACTTGAGCCGCGCATGGTGCCGACCGAGTTTCCGACCTCCACGTTTCATCAGTATCAACTCGACCCACACATACATCGTCGCGAAAACCGCAGACGAGTCGACAAACAAAAATCGCAGATAAATCAGCGCCGGTCGATGACTGACGTCGCGGGACCTATCCGGACGAAATGCACTTTTATCAGCGCGCGGCAGGTCGACGAACTTCTCTCGAGAGAGAAGACAGAGGGGACTCCCGTGTGGTGCGGCGAAGGGGAGAGAGAGCGCAATGATTCCTTACGCGCCTAATCTTATCGTTGCGCTCTGTGACAAATTGCACCGATATCCATCGCCTTCGTGCCACGTCGCGCTCTTTTATGCGAGCGCAAAATATTACGCGCTCTCTCACCGCTCGTCGAGAGTTTTTGCGCCCGTTTTTTGCGCGCACCTGACGTTCGACTATTAGAAACGGGAGTGCTCGCGCCGGGGAGAAATTTTATCGTCCTGTTCGTCGTGCGGACAATGTCGGATTTTTGTCGTGGTTGTAGTTGTCGCTCGCGAACTTGTGCGCTATTTCGTTTGAACGCACGATAATTGTTCGATTCAAGTATATAGAAAAAAAGTTCGTATATTATGGGGCCCCCCTTAATATCTCCGTTATTAAATTCCGCCAATTATTTGTGCAATCATATGTTTAGATAGGAAAAAATTTTATGTTAAGAATAGATATTCTCAGCAAGATTGTTATAATCTTCTAAGAATATTATAACACTCTTGCTTATATATTTATTATTGATTTAGAATGATTTCTTTCCTGTCTAACAGCTCGCCGTAATGACGCTAATATGCCAACGCACAATAGCCGGCATTTGTTACAACGATTTTTACTCTCGAGCATTTCAAAATGTTTTCAAAGTACATTTAATTAGACGTATTTTTTCTTAAACGTGGGCATATTAACATACGAATAATTTGAATATTTTGTTCATTATATAACATTTTATTCCGCTCTACACATTTTGAGTTATGCCAAATTAAACAACGGCATGGCATTTTGCTAATTTGTCCTCCCACCAAAAGAGATTTAATATGGCCTCTTTTCCAAAATAGTTATTCGATAAATTTATAATTCACTTAAAGTTTAAATTAAATTTAAAAGTCCATTCGTTTTGTATATGTTGTCCTTTTGAAAAGCAGTATCTGCATGAAAAATTCACTGTTATATTCATTATTGTTCCTTCCAAGAGAGCTTATTTTGAATAAATATACAAATTTGTAACAGAACACTGTGTTTCTCAAACAAAACCAATTTCTTCAATTTATTATAGTAGGAATACATATTACTATCTCTCTTCGACCCACTATGCAGTGTCGCCAGATACATAAATAACAGTAATAAAGATTTCATCAAAGATTGAGCCGATTGAACAACACTTTGACGAATGTGAAGTTTTCAATTTTTTTAATATTGATTATTAACAGAGTTATTGTACCACCTTCACTACATATATTTTTACTATCGAGACTGTGAAGTCGAGCGATCGGGGATGTAATTACGCACGAAAATAAGGATACTTATCCGGAGCTTGACGTCACTAGATGCGAGGGAAATCGTGGACGTAATGCTTTTCGGGAAGTAGCCCCGACGGCGATAAAAAAAAAATTCTAGCACCGGCAGGCGGGCATTAGAAACGATTAATAATGCAACTTGTCTCGCGGTGACGCGCGTTGCTTTAGTTATTTCCGTTTCGACGATGAGTCCTTTGTAACTCGGTTTGACATAAATATGCAGATCGCTTACTTAAAGAGGCGCAAGAAAGAGAGTGTGTGTGTTTTTTCCGCTCGGAAATCGATTACGCGCGACATTGCTCGCGAAATTGCCGAATTAACGTGCGCGTACTTTGCTTTCGTTTGTAAAACTTAATTCGCCGCGCTACTCGACATCACCGCGCGGGTTCGCAACACACACAACTTCACGGACACGTGTTTGCGTCGAAAGCTGGCACGTGGCCGTTTAATGCGGCTCGCCTCTCGAGTTAGTCCAGGAGGACGGGCGCACACGTGAGCTTGCATTGCGAGAAGTGATGGATAACCTGACTTCGTTATGACGCCTGGCTTGAGCGAGTATCGATCGCGTCTATTGGCCGAGCGATTATCAAACTGCGCGCACAATCTCCCAGCCGCCTGCTTGGGACAATGTTTGCCTCGAGATATTCGAAGATTCGCTGTCGATTCGATCAAACTGCTCGTTTCGTAGGGATTCTACGCGAACGAACCGCTGCTCCTGCCGATATACTTTCTCGGCTTTTCCTTCTTCACCGACGAGAGCGAGAATTTAGAGAGAAATCGTACAAACTCCAAAGTGCAAATTGTTTCGCTCGATAAGTTTGAACGCGATATAATTATTGATTTATTTTTCACACATACGGTTTCTGCAGTCGGGAATTCTGACGTTAGCGTGCGACAGGACAAACAAGATTTGTCGCAGTGATCGATGGACGATTACGGAGCTTTGGAAATCTCCGGGGAGGGTCACCGTGAAGTTTTCATCTAATGAAATAATCTCTCTATTCTTCACCGAAGAAAAATCTTAGAATCAAGTAATTGCCTGTTTTTCAGCCGCTTAAATCAAATGATATCTGTATTGATCTATTTTAATAGCTTGTGGTAAATACTTTCTTCGCGCAGTAATAATATTTGTAATTGAATTACCGAATGTGAGTGTAAAATTTAAGAGCGTACTTATTAGAATTATGTACTATATTTGTTTTCCACTGAAGAAACTTGGTAGTTTCAAATTTGAATTTTTTTGTTCAATAAATATTTTCCCAAAATAAGTTCTCAATGTAGTATGAATGTAACGCTTGTTTTAACATCAAACGTCTATTTATGACACGAAGGAAATATTGCGCACACTCAATTATATTTCTACTCGTGGTAAATATTTACCATTCTACTTGGACCAAGGAAATATTTTTCGAACGGTGGTACTTTTTTTGCGAGAAAAAGAGAAAGAGAAAGCGACACTCGACGGCCCCACTTTACGGGAAATAGCATCACACGCCGAATTTCAGGGAAAAACAGATAACGTTGATTAACGTTGTTTCAGCTCGTGTTACCGCGCGAAACCGCGAATGACCGGACCGGTTGCGGCCGCGGCGGCGGCGGCGGCGGCGGCGGCGGCTGCGGCGGGCGTCGGTGGTGTTCCAGTGGTGGGTGCCGGGGGCGGCAGGAGGACCTACACCGAGGAAGAGTTGCAGGCCGCCCTCAGGGACATCCAGAGCGGCAAGCTCGGCACGCGGAGGGCCGCGGTGATCTATGGGATACCGCGTAGCACCCTGCGCAACAAGGTCTACAAGCTCGCGATGGAGCGCGAAAGGGACGCGTCCCTGACTAGCACCCATTCACACCCTCACGAGCCCGGCGCCCCAGCCACCACCACCATCACCACCACCACCACCACCACCACCACCACCACTACTACTACTACTACTACTACTACTACTACTACAACACCACCAAATACGACCCAAAACGCGACCACTCCGCCCCCGCAAGTGGACGAGGTAGGTTTTGGGGACAGAAGATGATTAGAGATTTAGGAAGCGAGGGAAAAAGAAAGGAAGGAAATGAAGGGAGCGAGAGTGTGGGGGGGG